TATACAAAGATCATCCAGCTCCCAATTTGAGGCAATCTCCTTTTACAAGGGAGAGGTCTTCCCTCAAAGTCAACACTTGGTCCCTTGACTTCCAAATTGCCCCAAATTACAAGTCCCATTAGGAGTTGTTTGGTTGGGGAAAACTTTCTCCTTAAATTTCTATAAATTTTCTTTTTGTAAGATTATATATGTATTTTTTATATACTAATATTATAATAAAATGAGGATAAAAGTATAGTTTTAGCATTTATTTTCTTATATGCAATTCTCAACTTTTAAACTTTTCTTTCTAAACTTTTTGGAGGCAAAAAGTTTTCTCTCAACTTTTTTTATATAAGATTTACTTGACAATTTTTCTACTAACTTTTTCTATATTAGTTTCTTACCAAATATAAAAAAGTTAACAATTTAACAAAATTCTAACAAAACTTTACCATAAAATTTATCAACTTTTTGTATAATATTTTCTAATCGCTCTTCTAATAAAAACTTTCAATTTTCGTTATAAAGTTGGATCTCTACCTAATCAAACCATAGAGTTTATGGTTTTATTTTTGTGCTATAAATTAATAAATAAAAATCAAAGTTTAAAGATTAAATCTAGTAATAACTAAACGCTATCTTGTGAATTAATTCAAATTTTGAGACCAACACTTAATAAAAAAATTTCTTAAATGCATAAAACTCAATCTAAGGTGTATTTTTAGGATCACCTATATAGAATTTTTTGTTATTAACCTTCCTGTATCTGAAAGTTACAGTAGATTCTAATTAATTTTAAATCAAATTGTGTCAAATTTTATAAGGGAAAACTCTTTTAGTATATTTTTTTTATTTACAAGAGTTGAATTTAAGATCTTATTTAAAGAGAATTAAGTTGATTCCACACAAAATAATAAAATAATAAGCTGTTGATAAGGATTAGTCTTTTTAATTGCATGAAAATTGGTTAAAAAATATTTTAAATTTATATATATATAAATAAATAGTAGTCCCTCCTTCCAACTTTGGTATGCTTAGGTTTTTTTTAATAAAATAGAAATATAATAATTCATTAATAAAATGTTATATTTATTTTTAATTAAATATTACCTAATTAAAACTATTTATTTAATATATATTAATTATTATCTTTTAAAAAATAAAAATAAAATACATTAAAATAAAAATATACAATTAATTTAATCACCTCAAATTAACAAGTACGTTAACTATAGTTCAACGAAGGAAGTAATAAACAAATAAATAAATAAATATCCTCTATTTGATAATGTCAACTGTGAAAGGTTGAACCTTTAAACCCATTTTTCAGTGAAACCAGGTGCATCCAAGTCCCAAATGCGAAACAGGAAAAAGGCAGCGATCGTTCCATCAAGCAGCGACATCAGACCCATAGAAGCGGGATGGCCGCCGGGAAACGCCTGCAAATTCCTGCAACTATCGCGCGCCGCCGTCATGGACATACTGTCACGGCTTCCCATTACCACCCTCCTCACCTGCAGGTGCGTTTGCAAAAGATTTCTCCATTTAATTTCCGATCCTGAGTTTGCTCAGCTACATCTTACGAGATCAGCTGTTAGTATCATGATCAAAACCCTACCCCCCGTTAACGGGTCCAAGAGACTTCAGGTTGCCCAGATTGAGGACAATGGGGCAGGGTTTGAGGCCAGGAAAATGGAATTCACTGCAAAAGATAGCTTACCCACTTGTGATTTTGGTCATATGAACTCATGCAATGGGTTGATTTGCTTAGCTGGGTTTGAAAAGGATGATCCTGTTTATGTATGTAATCCAATTTTAGGTGAGTACATTACTCTGACGTCTCCCTCTAAGGGCAGGCATAGAGGGAGTTTTTTGGGGCTTGGGTATTCTGCTGTGACTGATCAATTCAAAGTGTTGCAAACCTTTTACCCTTTGAATGAATCAGATCATCGTTACGTAGAGGTTGAGATTTGCACCATTGGAACTGGTACATGGAGAAGTATTGGGGTTGGTCCTAAAGACCTAGTCACTTTACCATTCAATTCTTTCTTGAATGGAGCTCTTCATTGGTCTACTTGTACCCCAAATGGTAGTCAATTTATACATACATTCAGCTTTGTGACTGAGAGGTTTGGGACAGTTCCTCCACCTCCACACTTCAGTCAGGAAGACATGAAGTTTAGCGATTTTTTGAGGATAGGAGTCCTGGGAGGTTGTTTATATGCAATCTTCTTTGAGAACTCTTTGCGACTTGACATATGGGTTATGAAGGAGTATGGCGTTAGGGAATCTTGGACCAAACAGTTTGCTGTTGAGAATTTGTATCCGAGGAAACATAGTTGGGATCTTTATGAGCCTGTAGTTGTTTTGAACAATGGCGAGATCTTGTTGGTTTACAACAATGATCTTGTGGTTTGTTATCATCCAAAGAGAAAATGTCTAAGGGGAACTAAAATGTTCCGGACTCGCTCACAGTTTAATGCAATTGCATACACCCCAAGCTTAGTTTCACTCTACGCCGTTGCAAAAGGAGAGCAAATTTCAAGGTATGTAGCATAATCCTAGCATTATGCTTTCTTTGTTGAGAAGTTGCAGTAGTTGAAGGAAATGATCTCTGAATTTCAATGTATGATTTTCTAGATTCATGCCTAGAAATATCAAAACTTTTCTGTTTTCTTCTTGGGGTGACATGGTTCTACCTGCTTTGTTCCTTGTGAGTGATAATGATACTCTTTTTCTCTGTGATTGATTAGTTGATTCATTACCTCCTTGGTTATTGGTGTTGGTAGCTGGTGCTATAGTATTACATTTCATTATTTGTTGGCTTACTTTTAGGACCTTGATTGATTCATGGATGCGCACTGTAGTAGAACAGTAAAATTTGCATCCCATATTTGGAGGATTCAAGTTACAGGTTCTTGCATCACCTGCTGCCATATATCACTCACTGTTTTCATGGGGATTAAATATTTTTTTATAGGCCTGTGAGCTGTTTTTATGGCTGATAGAGAATTTGCTTGTATGTAATATGACCTGTATTGGATAACTGGAAAATTTCTTGCTTGATTCTCAACTAAACTGGTTACATTGTGCAGAAGTGACTCTTCTTCTATAATCTCTAGAAACCATTTAGAATGATAGTGTTTCGCAAAAATTTCATTGATTTTTCTTCTGTTGGCTTTGATCTGCTGAATATATCATTATCATGGTAAATATACAGAACTAGAGGCACTGGAAAATATGAAAGGCTCGCTGCTGAAAATGTTCAAAGTTGTGTTACCTGTGGAGCACCGCTCTTCAACTCTGACTATAGTTTGGCATGTTTCCCTGGAGCAACAAGTTATTCTGTGAGTTTTCTGTTATTCATTTTATTGCTCCTTCCATGAAACTGTTGGTTTTAGTCTAATGAAACTTTAAACAACAAATTTGCAGTCGGTTTCGAATGGGAGAAACTCGGATTTGGTGTGTGTAAATTGTGCAAAGCATCTACTTGGTCCTTCCCGGGATGCTACTCAGAAATCTTTCCTCTCTCTCTGGAGTTTATAAGGGGTTGACTCTGGCAGAAACAATAGCATCTGGTTCTAGTTTAGCACTTTATGATGACGAAAATGCTGTGTAATAACAAAACGTAATAATGGTTTTATTTTATATGAAATGTAAATTTTAATATCAGTCCTGGTGTCTGTGTGTACTCATTGAGACATCTTTCTCTTAGTCATGGGAAAGGACAAAGAATGCCAAGATTTCTCTTTTCTTCTTTCCCCTTTTACTTCATTGTTGAATCTCTTTTCTTTCCCCTTTACCACAACATTGATTCAAGAAAGATGTAAAGGTAAATCAAAATTCGAAACCATCATCAACATAATTCTCGCAAATTGGTGAATGAAAACGCATGAAGAAAAGAAAGAAGGTACTTCATTTGGAAACCAATTCTGCTCAATTCAATTTAACTAACAAGATGCAGTTCTGAAGTGAATTTGTGTATTGCAATCTTCACTACATAAATTCGCACTTCTGGGTATTGATCTTCCTTCTCCTCTCATTGCATGCCTTCAAAGCTTGAACCTCTGTTCAAAAATGAAGCACCCAACCAAAATTTTGAGATCGGAATTTCTCTGAAACCAATTTGGCAATAGAGGAACAAGGAGGCATACTGCATACCCTTTTGGCAGGATTTCCAATTTCTGTTGTAATTGACAAGACAATCCTAAAAATTACAGGAAAAACCGAAGTGGGTTCAGGGTTTAACCGCTTAAGATTTGAAAAGGAAACACCCACACAGAAATGAGATTGTTTTCTTGTTGTATTACCTGCAAGGACAAGTAGAGAGAGGAACATTCTCCGAGTTGCTTCACATTCTCGTCGTCCTCGTCGGCGTCGCTCTGGTGAAGAGCTGCTAGCTGCCGTGGCGGCGGCGACGGTGACGGTGGAGGAGATTGGTAGCTCACGTTTGGGTTTGGTGGCTGTTTGTCCATTTCCTCGTTCATGTGGCCAGCTCTTATTTTGTTGGCACCTTATTAATTTCTTTCTTACAAAACTAAAATTTTCAAAAAAAAAAATTTCTTAAAAAGGTTTTGATATTTAAAATTTTAAAATTATTTGTAAAATTATATACACTTTTTAATAAATTTTTTAAGTTTTAATTTTATTTAATAATAAAAAATTTTAACTTTATTAAAAATACTTTAATATTGTTGCATACGAACTTT